ACATGAGTGTCCCTATAAAAGCCCTCAGGGCAGAAGAGAAACTTCTTCTTGAAAAACCTCTAATCTCTCGAGTATAGTGAGAACGTGCTATCTCCCCGGGGATTTTTCTTCTTCTTCATCTCAGGTACCTTCCAGGAGTCGTGTGAGTGCCAGCTAGGAGTGACCGGATCGCGCTACATCAAATATTTTTATAAAAAGTTTACAAACGTTGCAATATAAACATATTTATAAATAAATATATATATAAGTAAATATGTTTATAATGTATACATATATAAGGGTGATGGTTCGACCGTCCGGTTCGAATGGATGGCCCGTTTTAACAACAAAAATTAAAAAAAATAAAAACCAGCCAAAAACCATTGAACGAGTCAATAGGTTGACAGTTCGTTCGCCCGGGTCAATGGGTTGTTGACCGATTCAACGGTTTTTGGCCAGGGACTAGGATTGGGATAAAACAGAACCAGTTACCTGGACAGTTCCCAATTAAAAAAATAAAAAATGACAAAAAACCATTGAATGAGTCAACGGGTTGACGGTTTGACCACCCCGATCAATGGGTTGTTGACCGATTCAACGGTTTTTGTCTAGGGACTGGGATTTGGGTTAAACGAAACTGGTTGCCTGGATGGTTCCTGGGCCGAAATGTCCTCTGTCCGGGTCAACGACAATTCAAAAACCATGGTTTTTTATGCATTTGGATTTTCATTATTCAAAGGTTTCTTCTACTATGGGCTTTATTCGAGCATGTGTAGTATGTTGCTTTTTTTTTCATGTTTTGCTTTTATTTTATTTTATTTTTTTTGTGTTTGGTCTTCTTCTTCAAGATTGTCCAAAACAATCTAGGGTTTACCACCATTTTATTTCTTCCATTTTGTTTTTTCTTTGGGTTTTCTTGTGCAATGTTTTTTTTTTTATTTTCTTACAAGACGATTTTGCTTTGTTTCTTTCTTTGATTGCATGTATGTTTAGCTTCGTCTCAAAGCGGAACTTTGGACTCGATTTTCTTATTTTTTTCCTTGATTTTTTCAATTTGTTGGATTTATTGCCAATTGCTTTCTATGTTTAAGGTCACTTTGGATTTATCTTTCAAGGTTTTGGAATCCCTTGCAATGTCCACCCTTCCCATGACCATGACTATAGAGTTATTTTGTCTAATTATTGACATCTAGAAAAAATGACCCAAAAACAGAATCGTTCTAGCCACCAGTTTCCAAGTCGATGGTTCGACTATTTGGTTCAAACCGATGACCCGTTTTGACAACAAAAATTAAAATAAAAAGGCCAAAACCGTTGAACGGGTCGACGGTTTAACCACCTAGGTCAATGGGTCGTTGACTGATTCAACGATTTTTGGCTAGTGGCCAGGTTTGGGGTAAAATGGAACCGGTTGCCTGGACGGTTCCCGAGCCAAACAGTCCTATCATTCAAGTCAACTAGGAGTTCTCGATCTGAAACAAAGAACAACTATGAAGTATAACTCATAACTATCACTCTATGATCGTGTTCTTTTATATGAGATAATTGCTGAAGCAATATTTAAAAAACGAGCACATGATGATCTCTTTTAAGTCTTTATAGGGGTGTTCATATTAAATGTCAAATCGACCAAACCGGCCTGGCCCAATCCAAGTTGGTTGGTTTTTCAAAACCACCAATCGGTTTCGGTTTGTATGAGAAAATAAATTGACAACTTGGTTTGATTTTGGCTTTCATAAAACCGAAACCAAACCGAATTGAACCGATCCTATATGTTTAAGTAATTATTAATTAGTCCCTACCCTATATGTTAAATGTTGCTATATTTTATTTGAACTTTGGAAAAAATTGGTTATTTATGATAAAAACTAAAAAGTAAAACCAATACAAATATAATACAATGGTACAATATTTAATTCAGTTTTGTATAAATTTAAATATATATTGACAAAAAAATCAGTTTTGCATAAAAGACTAATCGATTTAAATATAAATTTTGATTTTGCATAAAAACTAAAAAGAAATAAACTTAAATATAAATAGATATTTTAGTTTAAAATATATATAAAAACCAACTAAACCGATAAACCGACCCTTCATGTTTGGGTCGGTTGGTTTCGGTTTAGTTAATAAGTAAACCAACTAGGTCGGGTCAATTGAAGAAAATGACTCAAACTGACTCAAACACCACCTAAATCCGTAGATCTGATTTCAGATTTTCAAAATCGATTGATAGCCCAAATCCAAATGATGCTCGTATTGCGAGTCAGAGTACCACTTGGGATGCGAACGGATCAGATTGGGTTCGAATTAGGGTATATCTGAATTCGATCCAATAAAACATGTCCGAAGATTTGCTCAGATCTCAGAAATGGTGATTCGAATACAAAACCGTTAAGGATGTCAAATATCTACATCTAATCCGATCTGATTCAAATTCTAAAGGCATTAATAAATTATTTGAAGAAAACTCACAAATGGTGATTTGAATCCAAAACTATTTTCATCATATATATCAATATATACATGTTTTTTTTTACAAAATATAAACATATTTATAAATATATAAGTTAAGGGTGATTTGAATTCAATCTGATCCTATTATCCAATCCGATCCAAAAATCTAATAGAGGGTATTCGAATTCGGAAAATAGGATCATATTTGGATGGGATCATGATCCGATCCATTTGCACCCCTACTATATCACCACCCAAAACTATAGATGTAAATCAGGTCGTGTTGGGCTTAGGTTTCTAGGCTCATGGACTAGCATAGCACGGCATGACCGAGCAGGCCATGCTACCCATGGCCTATGTGCCAACACGACCCATATATATTATATATTATATATATAATAATATATAATATACTAATATATATTTTTATTTTCAATTTTATTATACTATTTTATTCCAATTGTATTGTAATTTTTTAATTTCATTTTATTATTTCATATATAAACAATTGTATACATCAAAATTCATATAAAATAAAATTTCAAGTTTTTTTTTTTATTTTGTCTATTTTATTAATTTATTTTCAAATTTTCATTACTTTCTTTTCAAATCTTTTATAAAAACATACCTCTCATGGCTTGGCCTGACCCGCGGCCGGGCTCGGGCCTGCCTAGTAGGGGTGATCATTTCAGCCCGGCCCGGAAATTTCGGGCTTGGGCTTAATACTTCAAGCCCGACCCAGAAATTCCGGGCTTGGGCTTAATACTTCAAGCCCGGCCCGACCCGCATATATTTAAACTTACACATTTTGTGTATAATGTATACATATGTATACATGCTATTTTACATTATGTTATATATTTATATATAAATATTATAACATGACATGTATAATTTATATGATTTGTAATATTTTATATTATATAATGTATAAAATAAGTTTATATGCATGTTATGTCATTTAATATATAGATATATAATATTTTATATTATATAATGTATAAAATAAGTTTATATGCATGTTATGTCATTTAATATATAGATATGTAATGTTTTATATATGAGTGACATTGACTCGGAATCAGGCCCAGCTCGGCCCGGGCCCGTATAGACATGGGCTAAGGCTTATGTTTCAGGCTCGAAACCCCGAACTGGGTCGGGCCCAAGCCTAAGCTATACCCCTTATCATAACTGCAAAGCCCAACCCATGATCACCCCTACTGCTTGGGTTGTGCTAGGTTGGACCTATGAAGTATCTCAGAGGTAGTAAGCATGGCCCAACCCGATTTGCCAAAAGCATGGGATGCCCTTTACACCTCTACCCAAAACTAAAAAGAGAAGCAATGATTGGGCAACAATAAACCAGAGACCAATAGTAAACTGAGTAAACTTGTTCATGGATCACGTAGCCCGATGGGCCAACCCGGCCCTACTCGATCTAAGCCGGTCTTGAATAGGATTTCAAGCTTGCGGGCTCATGTTCGGGCCTAAAATATCAGGCCCACCTTTTTCGGGCCAAACTCGAGTTCTCCCAAAAAGCCTGACCCAAGCCTAAGCTTGTCTTAATAATGTATTATATAATAAAAATATATTTCATATAACAAAAATATACATATAATATATTTTCTTTATTATTATTCTCTTTTTTCAAGTAATAGTAAGACCATTCATTACTTTTTTAGTTTTTAAGGTCTTTGAATATGAATAAAACTGTTTTCATTGAATAAAAAATTTTTTTTCTAATTTTCTATTCGAGCTTTAGGCTTTATATAAGGGTCAGTTCGGGTTGAAAGCCTTGGCCCAATGGTTGAATCGGGCTTGGGCTCAGGCTGAATATATTCTGTTACTATAGAGACAAAGCTTGGCCCGGCCAATGAATAGCTCTAAAACCGAGTACACAAAGGATGGAGGAGTTCAAATCAGCCCTGTCGTCGTACCTCAGCACTGCTCTGCTGCTTTTTCTCGTGTTCTCATTTTTCTCATTGAGAGAGAACACGACCAGGAATATAACGAACGAGCCTCAAGTCAAAGCCATTTCAAAGCTGTGTTATTTTTGGGAATCCCCTTTTTCCATACCAAAAATATGGTCTATAATCCAAACCCGATGGTTGATGAACCATGAAACCGATGATCATACCATACCAGCGTGGGACTCAGTTACCACGTTTTCGGTTTATATACAATCATTATCATCTATAGTCCATAGACTACAAGTCCAAAGTAATTGCGACTTTGCGAGGGATGCTTCCGTCGTTGTCAAAGAATGGCGGGAGACGGGAGGGAGGGAGCGAAGGAGACAAATCGCGAAACACGGAAGAATATCAGTGTGAAGTGTGAACACTGAGCACTTGAGGACTTGTGCACTTGAGCAGAACACCAACCAAGAGGGCAAAAGCCAAGACTCAAGAGGGAATTCTTTTATATTTTAAAAGAGAAAGAGACCCTTTTTGGTAAAATTGAAAAATTAAAGTGATCTTCTGCTTTAATTTTGAATTAGATAAAGTAAATTACTACTTGAAAACATTTTTCATGCTCTCTTAGGACCCAGATAAAAGGGCCAGACCCCCCTGCACTTCCCCTCATTCCCTGCGTTTGTTCCTCACTTTTCAGTGAGAGAGTAGAGACAGAGCGAGGGAGGAGGGTTTGGCCTTTGGCCTTCGAAAATGGCTCGGAGCACGAGTTGCAGCAGATGGGTTCCACTGTTTCTTCTGTTTATTGCTCGCTTGGTTTTTGCCGCGGTTGAAGATGGTATGTTCTTTCTCTCTCTCTCCCTCTCTCTCTCTCTCTCTGTCTGTCTCTGGCTCTCTCCCATTTTAACTCTTTGAGTTCCGTCCGAAGCTCGTCCTGAGTCTGTAGTTCTATTTAGATTCATTGGAGTAATTCACTTGTCTCTCGATGGAATTTCCTCTTCTTTTTTCTGGTTTTGAAGTGTTCTTAGTACACAAGTAGAATCTTCCGGACTGATTTTCTGCCATTCTCTTGTTCTTAACTGGGATTGTTTCTTTTTTTCTTCTTTAAAAGGATGAGTCGATCAAAGTTGTTCCATTGTTGGTTTTCCAGATACTGCCAAGAATTTTTGGTTTTACTTCTTTGGAAAGCAGATCAATGTCGGTTCTCTCTCTCTCTCTCTTTCTGCATTATTCTTGTTTTCCTGTTTCATCTGAAAACAAGTTCAAGATTCGAAAAAATATTTCAAGTATGTCTGAGTGTTCATTGAAGAGAAGCTGAAAGGTTACTAAGGCTGTATTTGACATTCGTTATTTTAAGGACTTATCTCCTTTTTGCAGTTAAAAATTTTAGTGTTTATAGCAAATAAGGTCTTATATATAGTCGGTCTCTATCCACAAAAGAGTTCAGTGCTTTTTTTATAGCAAACTTAAATGAAAACTTAATACTCTTTCTATTTGTTCTACATTTCTTCATCTGTTCATCACTGGTTGGAAATTTGCACTGTCACCCATTACTTCTTCCGATTCTTTCCAACTCTTTTTTCTTTCAAAGATCATTTCTCTTCGTCAAAGAAAAGTTGCCAAAAAATGGGACCCTAGAAAACGAGTGAATATGAAGTCATGATTTCCGATTGTACTATTTTTTACCCAAGGCGGTGCGGGTCCGGCATTGATGTGGTGGAGCCAGACCAAGATGGTCCGCCACGCCAAGCCCAGTCGGGGCCATTGCCTAGATGAACCCGTACCTCACATCCCTGTTCCCTCCTCCACTCTTTAGTCTTTACCTTCTCCACTGTCCATCAGGCCATCAATGCAGTCATGCATCTTAAGCTTTTTGGGACCCCCATTCAATAAGTATCAGCCAGCCATGGTAGGTGCTCAACCAGCTGGGTCCATTACTAGCTTTTCGCTTGAGCTGCATTTGGCAAAAGTAGCTTATATCTAGTTAAGCTAAAGTATCCAAAGTCAAAAGTAGTTGCTCCATGATTCCTCTCCTTTCCTTTGATAACAAGGGAACACTGCAGCTGCTCTGCTTCTCAGTCCAAGCTGGATGCAAGACACAGTCTAAACTGAACTCCCCATGCTTTTGACATTTAGGTAGGTGCTCAACCAGCTGGGTCCATTACTAGCTTTTTGCTTGAGCTGCATTTGGCAAAAGTAGCTTATATGAAGTTAAGCTAAAGTAGCCTAAGTCAAAAGTAGTTGCTCCATGATTCCTCTCCTTTCCTTAATAACAAGGGAACACTGCAGTCTGCAGTTCCTGCTTCTCAGGCCAAGCTGGAAGCAAGACACAGATTAAACTGAACTCCTCATGCTTTTGACATTTGGGTCATAGTTGCTGTGTCATTTTCAACTGGGTTACTACTTGCAGTTGCACAGAAGGACCTGTTCTCATCCGGACTTGGGTCTGTATACGATTTAAATTCCGACCCGTTTCATACCCCTAGTAAAAAGACATTTGCCTCTGGTTTTATCTTTGTAAAAATTCTTTATTTTTTATAAGCTAGCTGTGGTAGATCCAAATTTTTAACAGGGTTATTCTTAGGGACCAGCTCTGCTGTCTGTGACCGTGTGTACACTATTTTGGGTATAGGCTGAGATCCTACTAATATGAGTCTATCCATATTTGCTCTACTGGCCTTTGGGCATTCCAATACTCTTAATTGTCAACCTCATGTCCCCAGATTCCCAAATCCCACTAAAGGACATACTTCTCTGGTATAAGTTATTTGCTGAATTTTGATCTTTTTTGTTGTATTCGTCCCATTTTGCTCCATCCAAGTTTTAAGATTTCAATTGACCAGAACAGTCCAAGGTCCAAATATTTTCTTGGCACGAGGTGGGGTCCCACCATCTACCCCAGTGCTTACACGGTTTTAAAGGGGGCATTTGACGCTTCTTTTGCTTTCAGCCTTTCACGCGTTTTAGGGTTCCCTCGCAAACAAATCCTCACGCCTCAGTGACTGAGTGGAAATATGCTCTGTGCTAAAGGACTCTAAGTTGTAGGTAGACTATGAAATAAGAATACTTTTTTGCTCTCGTGATTTCTCGAATTTTAAATAAAATATTGTAAACTCTATATGCCCCATTATACCATGGGGGTGAGTAACTCAATTACCTAAGTTTCATTTTGTGACAAATTCCCCCTCAACTAGTAGGGTTAAGTAAATGGGCGGAATTATCTGCCCTGTTTAGGGAAGAAAATAACCAACAAGGATTGTTGGGCTATTTTCCGTCACGCCCAAGTGTTTTATTTGTTTGTGATTATTCAGAGGGAAATCTTGCATAAAATGGAGCTTAGGTAGTAGAGTGAAAGACCCCCATAGGATAGGGGAGTATATGAGCATAGATGCTCATGCTCATGGGCCATGGGGCTGTGGCTAGGTTTCAAATGAAATTAAAGCATATGAGCCATGGTTATACATTTTAGGGACCAGCCGACCAGGGATTGGCACCAAACCGTTTCTTTACTTTCATGTCATTATATGATGACACTGTAAACGTGTGATAATGATCAGAGTACCTCAAATCCATGCTATGGTCTCTCTTGATTGCCTTCTCTCATTATTAGGTTTCATGACAGAATATAATTTTAGAGAGAGAGAGAAAGAGAGATGTCCGCATGCTTGGGTGAAATGATTGCCGACTCATCGATTGCTCTTATAAAGACCTCTTTGTTATCATGCATAGAAATTGATGGTTTCGAGGGACCTAGCCCCTAGGATGTGGTTTCATAGGTCCCAGATTCCCTTTGCCTTTATTCTTTGAAGGGAAAAGGGTGGGCAAATTTATATCTAGACCGGTCCACCAGAAGGTGTGGTCCCGGCTAGGACAATCCTCACGGTTCTAGATATTTTGGATTTGGTTTTAACCTTTAAGCAGGTCCAGCCTGGTCTGTTTGTCTCATCCAGTTGATTTGAAAACCCTATTGGTTGGGCAAATCCAATCTATTTTGAAAAACAAGTCCAACCCTAAGCTAGCTCTGGGTGCATCTCGGGGTGTATTTTATTTATACTACAAAATCAAGTTTTAAACAGTCTCGAAATCGTACTTGGTAGTTGGGTAGTGTTTTAATGACCAGGACAAACATGAATTTGCTGATTTGCAGGTCCACTTGTGAATGGTGATTTTGAGAAGGTCCCATCAAATGGATTCTCTGGAGTTGGAGATGGCCCAGTTTCCATTCCTGATTGGAATACAAATGGAACGGTGGAATTGGTTGAATCAGGTGAAAAACAAGGTGGAATGATCCTTATAGTCCCTCAAGGTGTACATGCAGTAAGGCTAGGAAATGATGCAGAGATAAGCCAGGACATTAAGCTTGAAAAGGGTTCAATATACTCTGTTACCTTCAGTGCTGCAAGGACATGTGCCCAGTTGGAATCTCTCAATGTATCTGTACCCCCGGCATCGCAGACCATCGATCTCCAGACCCTCTACAGTGTGCAGGGATGGGATTCATATGCATGGGCCTTTCAGGCCGACTCGGAAGATGGACACTTGGTGTTCCGGAATCCTGGCATGGAAGATGATCCCACTTGTGGGCCAATTATTGATGACATTGCCATAAAAAAGATCTTCACACCCGATAAGCCCAAAGGTAAGTTGCTGTTCTATTCATTTCTCAAACAGGGATTACAAATTTACAATCAAAATGTAACATAGATTGGGTGATTGTTCCCTTGAGAAACATTGAATTGATCGATTTGCTTATTTTGGGTTTTCATGTTCTTCCATGTTTCAGACAATGTAGTCATTAATGGTGACTTTGAAGAAGGCCCATGGATGTTCAAGAATGGGTCCCTGGGCGTTCTGCTACCCACAAACCTCGACGAAGAGACATCCTCATTGCCCGGCTGGATCGTCGAATCCAACAGGGCTGTCAGGTACATTGATGTGAATCATTTTTCTGTTCCCCAAGGCAAACGAGCCATTGAACTGCTCTCTGGAAAGGAGGGTATCATCTCTCAGATGGTAGAGACCACACCCAAGAAGGAATACAGCCTCTCCTTTTCACTGGGACATGCAGGGGACTCCTGCCAACTACCCTTGGCAGTCATGGCCTTTGCAGGAGACCAAGCGCAGAACATCCACTACCTGCCTATGGCAAATGAGACCTTTGCAACTACAAACCTTACATTCACAGCCAAGGCCGAGAGGACACGGGTGGCATTCTACAGCGTGTATTACAACACAAGAACCGATGACCATAGCTCCCTCTGTGGGCCTGTGGTGGATGACATTCGGGTGTGGGCGCTCTCTGGAGCCAAAAGAAATTCGAGTGGTGTATTGACTTTAGTGCTTGTGCTGTTGGTTTTGGCTCTGCTTTGATTTAGGATTTGCTTTGCTATATGAGGGCAGTTGGTAAACCATCTTCCCACGTCTATATTGAATATGTGAGGTTTTCTTAGTTTCTTTTTCCCCCTTTTGGATACTAATGCAGATGCCTTCCTTTACTACTTTGTAAGATTGAATTGAGTGAATTATCAAGCCTCCAACTTATATTTTTGCCTATTTGAACATCTTTACTACTTTTATTCAGTAAAGATCAACAAATGTTTATTGGTGTTAACAGTGATTAGGCGGTTGGTTGGATCCGGATTAGGATAGATCCATTTCCAGAACCAATAAAAAAAATAAAAAAAAAAAAGAAAAGAAAACGAAACATACAGGCCCAATTCCTACTCGAATCCTATGGAATCTAATAAAATTTCTAGACCCAGAACTAGCCCAATTATCACTTGGGCTTATTGGGTTACAAGATTTTGACCTGCTAATTTAGTTGTGTTGTCTATGGGTTGGGACTGGTCTGGTAATTTCTATTATTAGCAGGGCTTATTCGGGATGGGATTAGGGAGGTTTTGTAAACCCTTCACTGTTGTGTTGTCCCTTGACCTCTCAACCTGTACCCTCCCCTATAGGCCTATAGTGGGTTGGATTTTTCAGAATATAAATCCTTCACTGTTCACAAAATAGTTAGAATCGATTAAACCGATCAAACCGGCCCAATTCAACTCAATTTGATTGGTTCTGAAAAATGATCAATCAGTTTTCGATTAGAAAAAAAATAGAGAAATCGATACTTCAGTTTAGCTACGGTTTATCATATTATAAGCCGAACTAAAACCGACCCGATGTATCACTTGCAAATTTGACATATTTAATGGGATGTCAATCATAATTTTTATTATGACACTGGATCCCTAGTCCCCACGGTGTAAATTAATGTCTTCTGTTTATCACTCACGATATTTCAAGTCTCCTTCCGTTTACTAAAAAATAAAAGCAAGTCTCACAATGTAGCTATATGTTTGCTTTCGGCTTTTACTTCTATCAGGAGAAAGTATGTGTTTAGTTCCTTTTATGTTTATTGAATAAACGTTTGTACTTTATTTGTTGGTAAAACAAATGCAATAATTATAACCGTTTATGATAAATAGGTGTTACCAGGCTTTACATCAGCATATTAATGAAAAAAACATGATAGTTTGTGGATACTTTAAAAAATAACTTATACAAATGGCTGTTATGTACAAAAACCAAAGTTGACATTTTTCATTTTTGATGCATGCATAAGAGCAAGAGAGAAAAAATGCTAAAACGGCACCTATGTGACATCGCCAATAAACATTTACTAAATAAATGTAAGTGGAATCAAACACCCTCAAAGTCCATACTCACACCATTGGCACACCACACTTTTTTGACTCGTGCGCGTGCTCAAAGCGTGCAAAATGGATTAAATGCCACCACCTTCACGCCATTAGTTTCTATTAAAAAATTTCACATTTCATTTGTTTTATTCCCCTTCGTGTTAGATACACCTAACCGAATCCTATTCACTCTCATTCCGTCCCTCTCCAACCTGCAACAACAAATAGCCATCACCGGCAACTGTTAACACCTGCAACCAGAGAAAAATCTCAGGTATTATTTTTTTTTTCATTTTTTCTTTCCCAAACATTTCATCTTTGCCACGAAAGATCTGACCCTAACCGGTTTGGATGGCAATTATATTCATTGTCGGCAATCGTCGGTAATCGGTGAAATAGTCATCGATGATGCCGAGACAGTGAATATGACTATCATCCAAACCAATTAAGGTCAGGTCTTTCATGTCAAAGATGCAATGTTTAAGGAAGAAAAAATGAAAAGAATCAATATCTAATGTTTCTCTTCGGTCACCAGTGTTAGCAGTCGCCAGTGATGATTATTGATTGCCGCCGATTAGAGAGGAGAGAGTGAAAATGAACAGCGGTTTGATTAGGTATATCTGGCAGGAAGGGGAATGGGACGAATGAAATGTGGAATTTTTGAATAGAAGCTAATGGCGTGAAGGAGACGACATTTAATCCATTCCGCATGCTTTAAGCACGCGCACGAGCCAAAAAATGCATGGCACGTCCTTATGGTGCGTGAATAGTGCGAGCATGGACTTTGCCCTAATAGAAGTCGGACTCTCTCAATCGAGTTCGGCTTCAGTTATGACACTGATCACCCTAGTTCCATCAAATCAATTTCATTTCTAATACGTACAACAATCTCGCTGTGTTATTTGAACTTCTTAATTTGGTTAATGGATTAAATTACCAGAATGCATTTAAAATTGGTTAACGGTTTTATATGAATGCCGGCCGGTTTTGGTTAATCAAATAAATAAAATGATAGTATCGGTTCGGTTGATACATGTAAATTAAACTGAGCTGAATCGATTTGTGTGCAGTCTAAATCTTCTTTGCATATGAAAATGCAAAACTCTCTCGTATTTGAGGGGGAGATGGGTCGAATCTATAAGTTGGGTTTAGAATTTGCATCTAATTTACTATTATTAAATAAAATTGTATAAATAAACATCAAATTTTCAATTATTTGATTAAAATGTAAAAAATACAAGCTATCCTTCACATAAATTTTAAAATATTATTACATTCAACACTTATCATATAAGTTCATATAATATGTGGGTTTGGTTTAGCCTTAACACCAGTATTTTACCTAATTGTAAAATCTCAAAATCCATCCTTGCCCCAAAATTCATTTTTTATGAAAAAAAAAAAAAGAAAAACTCTCCGTTGGGATGATGGGTATTTGCCATTCTTAAAGTTTATTGACCCAATAAGTATCTTTATGTCAACCCAGATGTTTTCCACAACGTGGTCATGTTTCAGGTGGTCTGTTTTACCTCTTAACTGTATATTGTAAAAACTGTTGCCTCGGCCAATGACTCGGTGAATTGTTGATACAAGTAGCAACGTTTGTATTTCTAACCATTGGTATCGCTAATAGAAACATTTGTCACACTTCTTACTTTTTAAACATTTTTATCTGTTATTTATTTATTTATTACATGTTTTATAATCGTACAGATTGACATTTGAATCAAGACAAAGAGTTCGGCTTCAGTCAAACACCCTCATTCAGAGTAATGTTTGCGCATTTGGAGAACGCGTTACAAGTCCTTCAAATTGTAAATTGTGTAAACGGTTGAAGCATGCGAAGATGTTTCACGCCGTTAATTAATTAAAATGAGACATTATATTCTCTTCTCCTCTCCTCTTTTTTCGCTTGACGAGACACCAAGTTTCTGAAGCCGAACTCAGTTTCTATAACTCAGAAGAAAATGGTGGGTCCCACCCTCTCGCTCCTTTAAAATCGAGTAAATGGTCATTCTCTTCCGAATTCCGGCAGTGGAGACCGGAGACCACCACACCCGACACCACGAGGTTCGACGTGGCAGATGAAACCACCGCCTCTAGGAAATTTGAGCAGCTTGCCGAAAAAGGTAGAGAAGAGAATCTCCGAATTCCCGGAAGTTCGACCACAGCCTCCCGTCTTTCAGATCTGGAATTCCTCGCTTTTCTTCCGCCCAAAAAATCGTAAAGATTGTCGCTATGGCACCCAAGAGAAAGGTATTAGCGTACTAGAAAGACTGTCGCTCTCTGTCTAGATTCTTTATTTCAGCAGGTATTGACTATTGAGCCTGGCACCTGTTCATGTTTCTTTATTTTGAATCCAGGTGAATAGATACGATGAGAACTGGCAGAAACAATGGTACGGGGCTGGGATATTTGCTTAAGGAAGTGAAGAAGTGAAAGTTGACATAGTCAAGAAGCGGGAGAAGAAGAAGGTTCTGAGAAACGTGGAGAAGGCCGGATTGCTGTCCAAGATCGATGAATTAGGGTGTACTCTGTCTTCCATCGAGAGATTGGGGGTTTTGTCCAAGGCAGAGGAGTTTGGCTTGTTGAGCTTGATTGAGAAAGTGGCGAGCTTCTCTCCGGCGACGTTAGCATCGGTGGCGTTGTTATTCTTTGTCGCCGGCGGTAATGGATATTAAATCGCCGCCGACGGATAGGGGAGAGAGGGGGAGAAGAGAACGAGTGTCTTGTGACTCTCGTCTGCGACACTCAAAGGGAGAGAAGAAGAGAGGAGAGGAGAATGGAACCATGTCTCGTTTTGGTTAAATAACTAGTGAAACATCTTCGCATGCTTCAACCCTTTACATGAATGCGCAAACGTGCCTTGACTGAAGCCGAACTTGGCATAAAAAAAAAGTTCTGTTTCTTGGTCGTTTTTTTTTAAACACTAGGCAAGCTCTTCTCAAAATATATTTTATATCCTCTAATATATGACAATTTTAAACATTGGTGTTCATCAAAATTCATGGAGGGGTTTTAATTGGTGAAAATTCTTCCGATTCATACATTTCCAGCATCGATTTACCCATTAATTAGAAATTTTTGTAGAGAAGAGAGATGTTACAATAAGTGTTTCAGAGCCTTCTTTGGAGATAGAACTGATTTCCCATCTTGGCCAATGGGCCAAGTATTTTAAAATCTGTAGATACTGTAACTTGTTGAACAGATCAGATAGGTCCAGACTAGGTGTGTCAATTCAACCGGATCTGGTCCAATCTGGTCCGCTCCAATATAATTTCATTACAGAAGTCCAATCCAATTCAATGAATACTTTGGAACCATTTTGGACCAGTCCAATTCAATGTCTAGACTGCTTAATTTATTTAAATTTGTTTTAATTTAGATTGGTTCAACCAAACCTGGTCTATTGAGATTTGTGTTCTTATCTTCTATTAATGGATCAGATATGGGTTCAAATATTCAATCCGACCCAATCTAACATAAATCCATTATGGACCCAGTCCAATTCAATCCAAATAAATACTTTGGACCATTAAGTCTGGACTGGTCCAGTTCAACATGTCTTATTGCTCCATCTAATCCGTCCAAATTGATTTTGATTAAGATAGAATCCAACCCAAAACCGGTCCATTAACACCCCTAGTCAAGACTCCAAAGTTCAACCATCTGATTCACCAGACCTTTCATTGAATCAACATATCGTAACATAGCAGGTTAGAGGTCAACCTAAACTAGGATTATGATTAGTTGCTAAGATGGTACCAAAAAAAAAAAGATTCTTAGGCTGATGAGCTATGACTATTCTTATATTAATTCTGATTTGATTTTTAATAAAATAAATATTTATTATAATTAAGGGTATATTTGGTTCATAATTGGAATCAGAATCATAATCAAAATTTTTTGGAATTGGAATGGGAATTGGAATCAACTGGAATGAGATTTCATTTCCAAGGGATGGAGAGGGAATGGCCATTCCCTCAAACGGGGAAATGCCACCACTAGGAATTCCAATTCCGATTCCAGACCCTTATTCCCATGAACCAAATGGGATCTAAGTACTTTATAGGGTGGGTATTGAGACAAGATCTCTCCCATGAATTTTACATGTATAGAAGATATTTTTCCAGTGTGTGGATGAATGCCATTCTCTCAGGGTGTGAATAATTGTTGCTTTCAAGAGATCCAAGCTCGTGAGTAGTATTTTAAGATTCAAATTGGAGTAAAAACCAAGTTGCCTTTTAGGTCCCAATTTTACTAGTTCACTGGGTGGTTTGCACATCCAACCCACCAAAACCCATTTAATTAGGACCTAGAGAGGCCATCGGTTCCTGGTTTTTATGGTTTGACTGTCCAGTCCAAGTTAAAGTCTTGAAACATTGAGTTGTAGTTCTAGGGTTTGTAGAAGAAGAGAAGAGAAAAGGAGGTATCGAAGAGGGGTGTGTGTATGTCATTATTCACACCCATAAAAATACTATTTATACTTTGAAGAAAATTTTCAAAAAAGCCCATATTTGGGCGCCCAAACTCAAAAGGATGATGAAAAGAGTAAAACACCCTTGCCCAAGCATTCTCAACACTCCCCTTAAAGATGAGCATATATGTTAATCATGCCCAACTTGACAAGGTTTTTAGAAAACTTTGGATGGTGAGCACGTTTAGTGAGACTATCAGCTAGTTGGTCTTCTAACCTTACAAATGGAAGGCAAATATCTTCGCTAGCAATTATTGCTCTAATAAAGTGTGTGTCTACCTCAATGTGCTTTATACGATCATATTGGATAGAATTGAGAATAATATTTATGACTGCTTAATTGTCATAATACAATCTCATTGGAGTATTTACTTGGATGTCCATCTCAATTAATAAGGTCTTCAACCATAGTAGTTCAGACACTCAATGATCCATTGCCTTGTACTTTGCCTCAGTACTAAAATGAGAAACAAATAATTATTTTTTACTTCTCATGAAACCACATTACCTTCAACTGAGGCATAGTAACCGGATGTAGATTTTCTATCATCAATGGACCTTACCCAATTAGCATCTGTGTATGCCTCAACATTTAGATAGCTATGATTGGAATACATCCCTTTACCAGGGCATCCTTTTAGACAAGCTAAAATTCTATTAACAACCTACATATGAGTTGTTTTAGGTTCATGCATATATTGACTAACCACTTTAACAGCATAAGATATATCAAGTCTAGTCAAACAAAGATACAAGAAATGGCCTAGCAACCATTAATGTATCCATCTATTTGGAAGAACTTTTCCTCCAGTGTCACTCAACTTGTGATTGAGATCAATTGGAGTTTTTATAGGCTTACACCCTAACTTCCCAACTTCATGGAGCAAGTCAAGAACATACTTCCTTTGTGACAAAAAGATTCCCTTCTTGGATCTTATAACTTCAATACCAATAAAATATCTAAGATCACCGCGATCCTTAATCTCAAATCCGAAGGTGAAGGACCCTTGATGGAAGCCTATTAATGAGTTACATAGTTGTCTCAATAGCATCACCACAAAAACGAGTGGGAACATGAGTTTGAAATAGTAAATCTTGAGCAACTTCAATCACATGCCTATTCTTCCTTTCAACAACCCCATTTTATTGTGGAGTATGATTGCATGAACTTTGGTGAATAATTCTCCAGTTCTCAAAAAATCCACGCAAATAGTTTTCAAAGTATTTCTTAGTATTGTTAGATCTTATTATCTTAACTCTTTTATCAAATTATGTATCTACCATATTCATGAAGTTTTGAACAATCATAGGAACCTCATCATGACTTTTCATCAAGTAGATCCATCTATACTAACTATAGTCATCAATGAAGAGAATGAAGTATTTATACCCACCCTTGAAAGGGATAGCATATGGGCCTCGAACATCAGTACGAACCAAATGGAAAGCAATATTGCTTCTTTTATTACTTGAGAAATGTGTGGTTTTACATTGTTTGGACAGATGACAAACTTCACATTCAATGTTCAACTTTGGCACTGAGTTAAACAAATTTAGAAACAAAATTTTTATAAAATTAAAAAAAAAAGCATATGACCAAGACAACAATGCCATAATTTTAAAAGACTTATTTTCTCATTAGAACAAAACTCAGTCTGACTCAATAATCTATACTCTAAGGCTATGTTTGGTTTGAAGGAAAAGGTAGGGAAAAGAAACGAAAGACAAGGGAACCTATATAAGGTTTGTAAAGGTTTCCCTACCTTTCCCTTCCTTTCCTTGCATTTTCCTTCAAACCAAACATAGCCTAAAGGTCCATTAAAGAGGTAGACTCCATCAACTTCATGCCCACTTTCAAGCATCCTCCCCGTTCTCAAGTCTTGGAAAACATGACAAGTACAAAAAAGGTCACAAAACAATTAGGAGATTTTGTAAGAAAACTAACTAACAAATTTTTATGTAATTGAGGTACATAGAGAATATATCCAAGAGAAAGATTATGGGTGAGTTTGCCTTCACCCTAACCCAAGATAGGGGTATAAGATCCATCAATAACAATAATCTTACCATTTCCTAGATTTAATTTATATCAAGTAAAATGTGAATGTATACTAGTCATATGGGCACTAGCCCAAAGTCTACATTTGATGGGCTGAAAGATGTGGAACAAGCAAGTGCAATACCTGTTTTAGCATATGAGCTAAATGGATTACTATGTCCAAAACTAGGTGAGGAGGATGCTTGAACATCATTACCAACTATAGCCAAGTGAGCATTGTCCTTTTTAGTTTTGAAGTTTTCTAGTTTTAAATGCATATTGAGCTCCCAACACCTTTCCATAGTATGTCTTGGCTTCTTGCAATAATCACAAATAATACCCTCATCCTTTTCAATAATAGGATGCTTACTGCTCTCCTCCCCTTGTACAAGGGAGTAAATGGAAGTAAGAGAGACAATGCCGACACTGAGAATATGTTGTATAGTAAAGTCAAACTCTAAGTTCAAGTAGAATAAAAAAATCAAAGACTCTATTCTCTTTTATGAACTTTCAATATTGCTCACCATTTTCAAGATCCTTTCATGCTAGAGCTTTTAAATGATCAATTTCTTTCTAAATAGATTGTAGAAAAGATAAATACATAACCACAGATCTTTCCCCCTGATGCATATTGCAAGCCTCCTTTCGAAGTTGGTACAATCTAGTAGTATCCTTTCATGCTAGAGTTTTTAAATGATCCATTTCTTTCTAAATAGATTGTAGAAAAGATAAATACATAACCACAAATCTTTCCCCCTGATGCATATTGCAAGCCTCCTTTCGAAGTTGGTACAATCTAGTAGTATTGTTAATTATGGAATAGGTGGCAATAACTCTATCCCAAATATCTTTAGTAGTTGGAAGAAACATGTACCTACAAGCAATATGAGATTGGGTTGAACAAATCAATCATGACATTACAATGGAGTTATTTTGCTCTTAGTTTGCAAATTTCGAATCTTCAGGATTTGGCTTTACCTTCTTTCCTGTAATGAATTCCAACATCTTCCTATGATAGTAAGCTTAGCAAATTGGGACCACTGCAGAAAGTTGGTCCCATTAAATTTAACAATGGTTATCATACCATTAGAAATATCTACATTTCCTAGGAGCACACTGGAAACCATCTGTAGATCCTTGAATACTTCCATATTCTATCAAAATACGTTCTTGTCAATCAAAAAGACCATCAATACCCGACCAAAGATAAAGACCCAAGAAAATGGGTCACCACACATTTAAGAGAAACAAAAAGGCCAAAAACTAGTTTGGCGGCAAAATAGAGGGAGAAGAAAATCTCTCAAAAATTGTATAGGGATTAGAAAATTACA